ATCCTGATCCTATCCTGATCCTGATCCTTATCCTGATCCTTATCCTGATGCTGATCCTTATCTGCTGTGTTGTGCGATTATTGACTGGCTGAGCAGACTCACAGGGAGCGTTTCGTGGGAAGATCAGAAGCCAAGAGATCGCCAGACTACTTCGAAATCGACAAGTGGTGGCAAAGCATTCTGTTTCAGTGGTTGCCGGGACCACCAAAGATCCACAGAGCTCAAGGTAAGATCTTGCAATTGAAAGGCTTAGCGGTCAAATTCTGTTGGATGGATACTCTTAAGTTCTGTTGGGTGCTGACGAGTATCCGAAGGGAGCCTATATATATATATAAGTCGGTGAAACCCCGGCGAAACAGTTTGTCGCAGCCGCTCGTTTGTTGTCCTCTTCTCTCTCTCTGCCTATACGGTTTACCGTAGGCAGCTCTGTTTGACGATATGTATATGTAGGCTCCTCCTGTTGAACACCGTAAACAACACGGACGCCTGGGAACCCAACTTGTGCCCAGATACACACCCGGGTGCCTGGCCGGGCATGAACCCCGGGCAAGGTTCCAGGCAACCCCAACGGGAAAAACAAAGAAAAAAAAAAAAAGAAAACAGAATCCAGAAGAAGAGAATGTTGTGTAGAATTGCATTAAGATTGTACAAACGACCTGCTTTTTTTTTCATTGGCGGAATAGAAGATAACAAAGAAAATAACGGAATCAGATGAAGGCACCCCTCTTTAAACCCTTTCGCCCCTTGAAAACCAATTTATACCCGCCTTCCCCCCCCCTCCTTTAGAGCTGCCAATGTGCAAAAAAAAGAAAGGAGCCTGGATTTGGGCTCGCCTGGCCATATGCTCAGAAAACCTCCACCCCATTAAAAAAAGAGAGGGCTGATTTTTGCCTGCATGGGGTTGCCCAATGCAGGTGACCCCCCGGGCGCGACTTGCCCGGCTTGCACGGCCTTGCTGCACGGGTGGGCGAGCCAAGTAGCGTAGCATTTCAGTCGATTTATATATTTTATCCTTGTCTTGTGCGGGGACCCATGCTCAGGTTCGCTGTATCATGTTCCACTTCTAACGGATGTCCCAAAGGACCACACAAGTAAAACTTTTTTTTTTTTTTTTTTTTTTTCCCACAAGTGACATCTTACCCTGAAAGCTATATGAGATCTGACCTTGAGCAAGCAATTTCGGGGAAAAAAGAACGGAAAAAAAAAAAGAAGAAGAAACTGTTACCTTCCTGTCTGGTGTGTAAGTCTTCCACTTACTCCCCCCCTCCCTCTTATCTCCCCCCTCCGTCTTATCCCCCCCTCCCTCGTAGACTGGTTGTTGACGAAGAGGTTTAGGGGTCAATTCGTGTTGGATACAATGCTATACTATAGGGGGTGGGGAATGGGGGGTGGGGTTACTCTGCCCGCCCCCCACTATCGTTGTGTGCACCCCCATTTAGGGGTCTTACTCCCCCCCTCCCTCTTATTCCCCTTGCCTTCATTTTTTTCTTCTACTGTTTTCTGAGTGGGGATCTTATCCATTCTTCTTCTTCTTCTTCTTCTTTTTTTTTTTTTTTGGGGGGGGGGGGGTTGTGTTATCCATTCTCTCCTCCTGAAGATGGATTGGTCTTCTAGTGCATGAATCCTCGTTGATCCCATGGTCCAGATTCGCCGTTTCTTCTGTTGATACAAGGGTCTAGATGTGCCGATTCGTTTGTTTCAAGGAGCAAGGCGCAATGATTAGTAAGAGTGAAGCTTCCTTCACAAATTGTACTCTGCTTTTTTGCATTTCCTCCCTCCCCCCCCTCCCCTGCTTCCCTACCTTTATTTCTTTGCCCGTTGACGGTTGACCTCGTCTCTCTTAGGATGTAGTTGCGCTAGGACATTTTCAAGCAAGATCTGGATGTGATTGCGGTCAGATTCGTCTGGGATGAACGGGATTGCGTTCAGATTCATTTAGAAAAGTGCCAGCGTGATTATATGCCCTTAGGGGTGGCGCCAGCCAAAAAAAGTTTGCCCCTTGGGCCTACTGGACCACAACGGCTGGCGGCGCCGGCCAAAAAAGGGAAAAAAATGCGCCGCTGGCGGTTCAGCAAAGCTTTTTTTTTTTTTTTTTTTTTTTTTTCCCTTAACAAATGTACGCCCCTTCTATTCTGAGGGGGCTCGGTCCGGTTGCTCATCACCGGCAACCATGTTTTTACAACTGAAGAAAGGGGACCCGATTTCCAGCTGACACATGTTATTGTACAGGGACGCTGGACCCGAATTCCAGCAGGTGTAGCTCCCCATCAATAGATGGAGCCTTCAACATTGGGACCCACTTAACGGGGATGCTCTTATCACCTCGTTAAGTGGGTTTTCCCGCATATGAAGGAGAGAGTAACAGACGGGGCAGAGGGTCAGCCCATCCCGTGTGGCACTAGTCACCTAGCAAGGGGGGGGACTGCTTCAGGGCGGCCCTCCCCCCAAACGGTGACCTTTCCGAGGGTTGCCCTGCTGGCCAGGAGGATTACTGGCAGCACCCAGTCACACAGCAGGGCAGCCTTCGGATAGGCGAGGCATGGGGGGTTACTCCTAACAGTTCCTCAGGCCGCTTAGCATCCTGTTTCTAGTGCGCGATCCATCATCGCTCGTTGTCGCTGTAGCACCTATACCTGTATCCCTTGTTTGGTCCCAACCAAATCCGCGCGGGTTCCATACCGGTCCCTGACCAGCTATTCTTAAAAGGGGTTAAACACCCTCTAAAAGGGGGTCACTGTTTGGGACTTTTTTTATATAGCATGCTCACCGCTTGCCCTAAATAAATTGTTCAACCAATTATAACGTGTTCACCCTCCCCTTTGTTCATCCCCACATAGCTTGGCTATTCTTAGAAGGGTTGAGCACGCACAGGAATGTGGTGATGACTTGCTATTTGTAGAGCACGTTCACCCCTTGGTCGTTATGTTTACCCCCTTAGAACATGTTCATCGACCCGTTTAGGCATGTTCACGCCTTGCTGTCAATTTCCACCCCTTTAGAACACCCTTTTTAGGCGTGTCTACCCCTTCAAGTTGTTGCTTTAAAAGCCGCACGTGTTCTGTAAGAGGCTGTAAGCGTCTCCATTGTACTATAAGGGGTTTTCTGGTGAACAAGGGGTCACGCTTTGGCGGCTTTGCAATGCTTAAGAGCATGTTTAGTACCCCTTGCTGTAAATGCTCAGACCTTTCAAATGTGCTCGCCGACCCCTTTAAGCATGTCCACCCCTTGCTGTAATAGTCCACCCCTTTTAGAACTTTATCACCCTTTTAGGCATTTTTCAATTTTCACCGCTTACTTTAAAAAAAAGTTGGCATTTTCAAATTTTCACCCCTTACTTTAAAAGTTGGCATTTTCAAATTTTCATCCCTTACTTCAAAAGTCGCAAGTGTGCTCGAAGAGGTCGCAAGCTTCTCCCCGATACTAGAGGGGTATTTCTGCAAAATGGACAGTGTGAGGGTTAGTATGCCCTCAAGGACGGGCCCAATTGAGCAAGTGCCAATGTCAAGGTTTTGAATTTGGATGCTTGTGATCAGAGGCTGAACCTTACAATTTGCCCCCCCCCCTGATACTAGAAGGGTATTTCTGCAAAATGGACATTGTGAGGGTTAGTATGCCCTCAAGGACAGGTCCAATTGAGCAAATGCCAATGTCTAGGTTCTGAATTCGGATGCTTGTGATCAGAGGGTGAACCTTACAATTTGGTTCCTCCCCCCTCTCCCCCCCCCCCTCCTCCTTGCACACACCCATAAAAAAGGCCTTATAACACAAGTACATCCAGCTATCGGCCGCGTTTCCTGTCGTAATCCAAAAAGCGACGCAGGCCACCGATTTTTTTTTATTGACGGTGTCCCTGCGCCGTCCCTTTTGGATGGCATCTTGTAGGGGCGACGAGTTTCTTTTCAGCAAGGCTGGGGCCTTGTACCAGAAGTTTAACAAAGTCCAGTCATAACCCTATCCCTAGGAGTTGTGGGCCTGCTTGATATGCCGGCGTATAGGGTCTGGAATCGAACAGATGTGTCCGCAGAGAGCTGAACATAGGGCCTCACTCCACTAAGTCCAGTACACAAAAATCTATGAATAGCATGAAGCTTGATGAGCCGTAGGAGTTGTTAGCGGTTTGGAATAGCATGTTTGCTGTGTAGCCAATTCCTTTGACGCATCTATAAATAGCTAGCTACATTTTGCTATCTATAGCACACAGTGAAGTGGATTTTCATCTCATGTTCATTGACATACTGTCTTCACCTCATCTCCTCCCGTGTCTGGTCTGTCTGAACGTGTGTATGTCTCTCCGTCCGAGCTATCTCTGTACGAATTCGCATGCATGTATGTTTGTTTGTATGCTTGTTTGGTTCATTGGCTTGGGGTTTGGGTTGGTGGGTGGGTTGGTTGGTGGGTGGGTTGGTTGGTTCGTGGGTTGGTTTGGAGTTTGGGTTGGTTTGGGGCTTGGGTTGGTTCGGGGTTTGGGTTGGTTTGGGGTTTGGGTTGGTTCGGGGCCTGGGTGGGTTGGGGTTTGGGTGGTTGGGGTGGGTTTCGGTCGGGTTTGGGTCTGGTTGGGTTTGGGTCCGGTTGGGTTTGGGTCCGGTTGGGGTCGGGTCGGGTCGGGTCGGGTCAGGTCGGCGGTTCGGGTCGGCGGGTTGGGTTGGGTCAGGTTGGGTTGGCGGGTTGGGTTGTTTGTTTGTTTGGTTGGTTGGTTGTTTGTTTTTAAAATGTTGCGAACACTGCAGTTGGGTGATACGGGTGAAACCTCAGGCGCACTCACGTACCACTTCATACAGGCAATTGAGAAAGGGCAGGCCAGGACCTACAAAAGTTTGTTGGCAGCAATTCGACAAGGAATTCGATGGGATGAGAGAATGACAGTTCTGGCAGTGCTATTCAGCCCAAAGCAATTGCGAGACAAAGACGGTCGATTTGTGGGAAACCGAATCGACGTTTCCAGCTGCTCGGAGCTCGAGGAAGCGGCGATCAAGTCCAAGTCAGATTTGCGCCTTGCTCCTGCAAAGAACAGTGCGAAGAACATTGCGAAGAAGCCTCGTGATCTGGATGTCCAAGGGGAGATGAGCGCTGCAGACAGAAGGCAGTCGTCCTGCAGTTCGCCATTGGCGCCAATCGCCGAAGACGATTGCGAAGGGACGAAGAAGGCCAAGCGCAAACCATTTTACAAGGCAGTGTATAATGCCTTCCAGTACTCACTCCACATACCGCGACGAGGGTCGAGGGATAGTTCAGAGCCGGATTCAAAAGAGTTCGATCCTGACTGTCGTACTCCAGTGCCTGCGGCGGATCAAGGGAGTAGTTACACGACGACGGACAAGGGAGAGCAAAGGACGCAGGGGAATGTTTTGAACCGTCCACCTTCTCCTTTTGAGTTTGGGAGCAGTGCGTTCAGACCTCCTCCTTTTGAAGATGAGGACAGCCCAGCAATTACGGCGCCGCAGCAGAGACCTTCTGTTGTTGTATCAGACGCTTATCGAGGAGTTTGTCCGGAGCAGGTCAGTGCGGCCCAGATCGCCTGCGACAGAAGCAAGGAGGAAAACGGTGAAGAGAAAAAGAAGTTGAGAAAGAAAGAAGAGCGAGAAGGCTGGGTAGCCCACGACAAAGTGTGGCCATCACGAGCCGTTGTCGGCGAACATTGTGGGCTTGATTTGATTGGGACAGGCAGTTGGGAGGCTAGAGGGAGAGAGAGTGAGGTGGCAGAAAACGGTGAAGTCTCAGCAGACGGCCAGACTACGGCAGGGAATTTAGATTATAGATTGGATGAGGAGAAGAGAACCGCAGAGGAGAATGAGGAGGAGACAGGGGAGGAGGGGAGAGAGGTGGAGCAGGAGGAAGATGAGGATGTGTGGGAAAGCGGAGAGGAATCAAGCAACGGCGAGTCGGCTGATGAAATCACATTCACTGAAGGTAATGATAGGGATTTTGGGGGCATGAGAGCAGGACGAGAGACAGATGACGGTGCTCGTGACTCTGACTTTGACGACGAAACGTTCACTTCAGAAGCGACGACGGGTGATGGAGAGGAGGAGGAGGAGGAGTTGCATTGGAAAGACCAGTTGGAAGAGTTTGAAGATGTCATCCGTAAGAGTGGCTTGCTCACCCCAGCAGAGTGCAGCAGTTTCATCGACTACGACGAAGAATCGAACACTGTCGAGTGGGGGGAACAGCTAGAGGCACTTGAGGAGGTGGTGCGGAAGAGCGGATTGCTCGTTCCGCCGCCGTCCTCCACGGGTGATGCAGGATGGGATGCCACCGACGAGGGATGGGAGGAGAAGATTGATCACCTGGAAGAGCAAGTGCTGAAAAGCGGCCTTTTGGAGGAGATCCAAGACAAGGTTCGAAAAAGCGGGCTACTCACACAAAGGGTAAGTATGGGAGGCCTGGTGGATGAATCCGGGGAGCTACGGAAGGGGCCCAAGAGCGGCGCACTCTCACAAAGAGGGACGCTGCCAAGAAGTGGCGTGCTGCTGCCGCAAAGTGGGGCCCTCCAGGGCAGTGGAATGCTGCTGCCAGGAAGCGGAATGCTAGTGCGGAGGGAGAGCTTAAGGGCATCATATGATTCGTCGGGAGTGCTGCACATTCACACCGAACCTTATGTACCTGACGAAGAAAGGGCTGCGAATGAAGGCGATCATGGAGAGGGTGAATCACAATCGCCCCGTCGGGTGAGCAGGATAACCTTGCTGCTCAATGCAATTTATGAAGTGTTTGGTGGTTCAAGGACAGGTAATAGTCCACGTAAAGAAGAGAATGCACACAAGAAGCCAAACGGTGAGAATCGTGACCAAAAGGATGGGAAAGAGAGGAGGAGTGCAGCCTCAGCATTGGCTCAATGGTTGGCTAGCATCGTGTACCGTGGACAGAAGAAGATTCATAAACGAAAGCGGCGCAAGTACTTGAGACTAGCTCTCTTTCCCAGTCAGGTCAGCCCCCGTTCTTCCCCC